AGAGCAGGATGGATGTGTAGTGTTCGGTAACACTTGGATCAACAGCAAGGTAACGTCGATAGACGGTCACTGTAGTAGGTCCACCCTTTGTCTCGGCCCAGAGTAGATATCGAACCCATATTCGTGAATGTAGTGAAGGTGGCAGAGTACGCAAAGCTCGGTCAAATGTCCGACGAGCATGCGTGTGTGAAATGAGAGATGGGCACAACGGGTGGAAGAAGACGGATGTGTACATTAGCCATAATCTGGGTAGCTGAAATGATGCTGCAGTCAGCACAAACACAGCGGTTCTTTGGCAATAGAGCGTACTTTGGGCAACCACATGAGGGCCCTTTCATATGTAGCAATCAGCGATCTCCACTCCCCCCAGCCTACGACTCCATCAAGGCCATCCTCCCATGACTCTAGGTCCTCCTTCTCCTCCTCTAAAGCATCCTTCATTTCCGGTAATTTCTTCCTTCCGCCAGCCCTTTTCTTGATCACCTGTCTGCCGAGAACATACGACATTCTCATCTGGAGGTACGACTTCCATAGTTTGAACGAGCCAGGAAACTGAGCTATAGCTGCTTCATAAAGGTAAGTTAGACACTGCAACGAATGTCTAGCCAGTGGAGTCGCGAGTGGACCGAGGAGTGTCGCGGTTTCGTCAGGTACGATCGCGTGTCTCTCTGCCTTCAATTGCGTGTTATACGCTTCTTTCGTCGTATGTATGGCGGTCCACCATGCACGAAAAGAGGATGGGTTTCGGAGAAGGTCTTCCTCACGCTGAACATCCTTGATGGACAGCAAGTTTGAATTGGTTGTAGGTGTCGGTATTGGAAGTGTCACAGGAAATTGAGACGCCAGTAAGTCCACTGAAGTCGACTTCTCCGCAACCGAAGGCATTTTGAGATCCTGGTAAGTTTTGAACGAAAGCACAGCGCTGAGCGCTAGTAATAGGTTGGCGCGCTAGAGTTTAGGAAGAGTATTTATTTATTTATTTATTTTTCTCGTGATCTGGTAATTGATAATCCAACAATTGCAAGTCTTGTCTTCCCTGTCGCTATGGTAAGAACTGCGTTCAGATCGTTCTGCACACAGTTTGAATAAGCATCGAACAGCATCACGTCAAACGTAATCGACAGACTCCCGAGGCTCTTGCTGAAAAGAAACAGCGAGAAAAGTCCAAGATCGATGAGTTCCTCACTTTAACAGACGATGTGTTATCTCGAGTACGGATAGCTCTTGCTTGTGTACCGTCATCTTTCTGATTGGAATGTGTGTAGAAGAAGAAACAGGAGTGGAGCAACGATGCCTTCGAATTAACGCAGCGTTTACTCCAGATCAACCCTGAATCCTACACCGTGTGGAATTATCGTCGAAATATCCTACTCAACGGTATATTTCCTCAGAGGTGCGCAAGTATGAACATGACGCGAAATTTCCTCACAATCAGAGCTCTCGCAGTACTCCCGAGCAAATTAATAGCCTTCTCTCAAACGAGCTTTCTATGACTACTACAGCTTTGAAAGCAAATCCGAAAGTCTACTGGATATGGAATCACCGTCGCTGGTGTCTCGAGAATGTCCCAGATGGGCCGGAGCGCAATGAGGTGCCGTCTATGGAATGGAGACAAGCAAATTGGGACAAGGAGCTCTTCGTAACGGAGAGGATGCTTGACGCAGATGCAAGGAACTGTCAGTCATCTCATCGCTGCATTCGCACATGCTCGACACCCACCCCCCTCTCTAGTCCTTGCTTGGAATTATCGCAGATACGTCCTCGCGAACATGCCCACAAGAAGGCCTGAGGCGTCAGAGTTGGCTTACACTTCTCGCAAAATTGGAGCAAATTTCTCCAATTTCAGTGCATGGCATCAAAGGTCTAAGACCTTGGCCAGACTTTGGGAAAGTGGTCAGCTGGACCCTATCCAGTCGAGAGACGACGGTACGTACCCTTTTTCAATCGGATTAACTTTTTCGAGTTTTTTTTTCTTTTTTTTAACAGAGTTCGAGCTTGTGAGCAACGCATTATACACCGACCCAGACGATCAAAGCGCGTGGATATACCATAGATGGCTCATTGGTTCAGGTTTTGCAACAGACTCTCATATGTAATTCAACGTGAACTGACTTGATGCATTGAGCAGGGGAAAACAAAACGCAATTGGAACGTGAGATACAACTCATCTTCGAGTTGCTCCAAGAGCAACCTGATAGTAAATGCAAGTGGTTATGTTTGTTAATCTCGCAAGTACTTGATTTTTTTATAGGGTGTATGGAGTCATTGGTTCACTATAAGCGACTTCTGCTCCAAAATCACTCACCGGATTCCCAAACCCTGAAACAGGAGTGCGTAGAGTTACTTTCTCAGTTGATGGGCTTGGACCCTGTTCGATACTTTAGATATCAGGATTTAAGTAAGTCCTCTGTATCGATGTGTAACGAGGTGCTTATTATTTTCAGAGAGGGACCTCGATCAGTAGTCTATTCTGGTTAAATCAATTATCATTGCGCTGATCGATTGCATTCCATTTTCATCTCTGCCCCCCAGTCGCTTCAATAAGTTGTGACCGGATAGGCCTAAGGCTTAGCGCCGTATTCACTGTGCTTCCATACGTATGTCCTGTACGTGAACCACCCTCAAGTGATATATGGTCTTACAGTGCGCAATGGTACGGGTTGCAGTCTGTAGCAACACCCCAGTTCTCGTCGATAACGCCTTGGATACCTGTATTATCAACAAGGCCGGGACTGTTTGGTCACATAATTAATTTGATTAGTTGCTTGCACAGCGCTACATTTTTAGTTTCACGTAATATCGCTCCTGCATTTCAATAATCTTTGAGCGAAATTCACTTATGGCATTCACGATAGATATTCCAGTGGCCTTACCCTCATTGGTTGCGTTTCTTGGGGTAGCAGGCAGACCAACCTGTCTACTGGGCTTCGATCGCCATCCTCTCATAGCCTTATCCAGTGTTTTCTCTACTCTTGAAGTGCATGGCACACGACCTCGAGGTCCTCCCAAAGCTTTCCGATCGCACTCGTCAAGTTTCGTCAAGGTAGCAAGCTCTACCTGCTCTATCTCTCAGTTACATAAGTACACCCAGCGACAACTCGCCAGATAAGTATACCTTGGCAAAAAACAAGCACTTAATCTAGGTACGTGTAATGTGCTAGCCATCCTTTCTCTGCCTCCCATGACAACTGACAGAACAAAATTGGCATCCATCCAGTCTTCCAACTCTTGCATATAACACACTCCCGAATCACCAGGATGACTGTGATTCGGTAATATCTCAAAGACCACTGCTCGGGGTACAAATGATTTCGACGACCGCAGTTTGACAAGTCGCAGATATGCCCTTGTTGGAGTGGCATGCTCGTGCATCATCATGATCATCTATTGCATCCTAGTGCTGGTAATATATATTCAAGCTCTGCAATAGCCAGTGTTCCTACGTCGGATTAGAACCCGAAACGGGTACTTCCCACTACTCTGTCACCTCGGGATTTGCATGATTTCCCACCTCTGATTACACAACGATTATACCGTCTTTTCCAGACCTGATCAAAATCTCGTTTGGATCCGCAGTGAATATTGTCGTACACACAGCCCTGTGGCGCCTTGATAATTTTGCCAAGTGGCAGAAGTGGCGGTTCTGCCCCTTCTGCCGGTTGTGCTGGGACAATTGCCCGCAAATAATTCTGCCCCCAGCACTAGCCGTATGATCTATAGTTTCTCGATGTCCCGCCGCCTCTCACGATACTCTCTCTAGCGTGTCTCGTGTTCTAGCTTCTAATACCAGCTCTGTCAACGCATCGGTAATTACAGCGGTATTTAATAACTTTCTTTTTTCGTCATGGCCGAGTCAAGCACATCAGCACAACGGAGAGATGGGGAACGAGGAGTGATGTTGAGCTCACTGGTGATCAGGGCACCTCTTCGGACGAGGGAGAAGGGTCTACCACACTATGGTTCACAATATCGCCAGGATGCACTATGGGAAGGTGAGTAACTACATTTTCATGCCTGCTGACTTTCTCAATGAGAAGCAGGTGGGAATGAAGCGCTTCCTCCTCAATGGCAGCAGCATAGGTTTTTGGATGATAGTCTACGATATGATGACTACGCAGTCATGATGTCTTCAATGAATCGACCTCTGCCAGGGGTGCGACTAGGTGAGCGAAGAATATGGCACTAGCAACGAGGAATTCATGATGAAACATAGATTATCCCGGAAAACTCGTTCCCGGATGCGAATGGTACATCTCACCATTCGGTCAGTCCCACTTCGTCAACCACAATACCAGGACTACATCGTGGAAGAAACCAACGCCAGAACGTCCACCAGGGAACTTGACACCGGAGTGTGTCATCGAGGGTCATTCCAAAGTTATTTGGAGCCTTACCTGTTTGGGCACCAGTTGCAACACGCTAAGTGCGTCACACGATGGTTCAATTCGTCAGTGGACAATAGACGGAAAACCAGTGGGGAGGCCTTGGACTAGTGACGGAGGAGCGGTAAACTTAATAGCAATGTCTCCAGATGAATCGATGGTCGTGAGCGGAAGCGCAGATGGCAGGCTACGACTGTGGAACATCAAGAAGGGCAGCGTGGTCGGCCACCCGTGGGAGGAGCATGGTTGTTTTGTTTGGTCCCTGGATTGGTCCATCAGTGGATCGCAAGATGGCACCATACGACGCTGGAACCCGGATACTGGCCGACAAATAGCACTGCCCATAAAGACCAGCCATGGGATAGTGTACTCTCTCAAATACTCTCCTCAAGGGGACAAGTTCACGAGCAGCGGAGAGGACAAGGTCATCCGCGTGTGGTCAAAGGACGGCGAGCTGCTCATTGTGATCGAGGGCCATGACGATGGGGTGACATCGCTGTGTTGGTCCAAGGATGGCGCACACATTTTCTCTGCGTCAGCCGATCGCACCATCCGAAAGTGGCAGTCGATTGATGGGAAGGAGCTCATTGTTTTCCAGGGTCATACCATTGCCGTCACCTCCCTCTGTCTTTCCCCTGATGAAAGTCATCTTGTTTGCGCAGTAAATAACTACTCGGTTCGCATCCGGGACCTCGAGACCAATCAGCTGGTCGGAGACCCACTCTTGCATGACGACGAAGTCACAGCTGTTGTCATTTCCCCTAATGGAAAATATATTGCCAGTGCTGGAAAAGATGGGAAAGTCTACATATGGTGCATGGATGCAGCTCTTAAACAGTACAGGCGATGATCATGTAAGTGTGTCTATGTGATATCAGTGTCTTTGTTGAGCAAGTTTGCGTTCAGAGCGCAGATGAGAGCAATGCAAAACCCAATGCGAAGCTCAAGGCAAGTTGTCTGTATTTCTCTTTCTTATGGCATCTTACTTCTTTACCAGGAACGTGCGGCTCAACTGGGACATGTACACCAAACAGTTGTGAGCTTCATCCTTTCCTCATTTCATCTGATTAGATCTCAATCTCTATCTGGTCTCCGAGCAACAGCTCAATGACAGAAGCTTTGCGAAATATGTGAGTGCAGTTTTCCTTTCAGAGCTCGTGCAAGTCTGACGTTGATATGCACAGGGCAAGGACTTCTGGGACGCTGATACCAACACCGCGCCTTGTCGCGCAGCCACTCCTGTGAACCTATTGTCTTCCCTTCACTGGCGCAGTTTGTTTGGTTCACTGCGTTTCAGTACTCGATCTGCAGATACGCTGCAATCGATACCGCTCCAGCCCAGGCATTGGAATTTCAACCTGTTTCCTGTAGGAAGCTCTATACGCACCGTTGATGTAGCTGCCGGTCGCAAGAAAAATGCGAGTGGCTACCATCGCTCCTTTTTGATATCATGGAAATTCATCCATTTGCAGAGAATTGCCATTGCCCCTCCCACCACAGCAGAACTGGCCGCAGCAGAAGCAGCTGCAGCTATGCGACCTACGAATGGCAACAAGGCTGGCAGTTCGACGCCACCAGGTCAACCTCGGGCTCTGCCGAGGACACAAGTGTCTCAAGGACAACCGGCGAAAACGCAAGGTGCAGGTAGTGAGATGGGAGAGGTTTCTTATGAAGTTAGGTGCTGCGGATTGTTATTTAGTTGTGGTCGTCCTACCTCGCGTCAGTCATGAGGTCATCTTGAAACTCTCTGTTGTTCGATAATTTTTGCTCTTGCCCCTTATAATAGGATATGGTGTGGATATAGCCGCTTTGCGCCGCATCGTAAAAATACTTACTGGTACCGCCTCAAGTTGAACTTCTAATGATTTAGTTTTTGTTTCTGCTCCATCGACAGAGCGTAGATATCCCTTTACTGATGGAAAATGGCATGGGATACTTTAATTTATTTACTATATTGAAATCAGGTTACACATATAAATAACCTGACTAACTTCTTGTGTTGGGCGCTCAATTCGATTGTCCAAGGATAACTGGAAGAAGGCCTGCCACACTGCCAGTGATTAATGCACCCATAGGGGCCGATATAATAGGATATGATATGGATATAGCCGCTTTGCGCCGCATCGTAAATACTTACCGGTAGCGCCTCAGGTTGAACTTCTAATGAACCTCATGTACTCAGTTTTTGTTTCTGCTCCACCGACGGAGCGCTACGTAGATATCCCTTTATTGATGGAAAACGGTGGGATACTTTAATTTATTTACTATATTGAGATCAGGTTACACATATAGTTATGAAAAACCTAACTATTTTCATGTGTTGGGCGCTCGGCATCTACCCGAACCTCTACGCCCTTCAACCCTTCGGTATGTATTTGATCGTGAAGGGTCTTCGACGACTCTCTATCTACGCGCTACATATGGAGTGCGCAGTTAGCCGCCACATCAGCACATGGTAATGCAGCCGCCCGAGGTGCTTAGACCAATAGGAAGAAGATAATGAAGCGCTCGTTGGTAAGTAAAATCTCCTAGGACTTTGACTCAGTCTGCATCGTAGCACGGTTCACGCACGACTCACGCATGATGCGGCCTTCCATAACACTCAAGCGAGCGCTTCTCGTAGGAAGGGATTCAATAGCCAGTAATATATTCCTTATGGACTCAGATCCGTAAAAATAAGCGCTCAAGAAGACCGTAGGTTTGAGGGCAACCCCTGAACCTTCATCAGAATTTAATTCACGAGTATCCAGAAAAACACAGCTAGGACCCTCCCAGGCCTACTTACCTCATAATATGCAATATTCCATTCCCACGATCTCTTGGAACTTATCACGAACACGAGTTATGTGGGTGTTTTTGCACGCAGTGTGATATTTCGATTCAGTGTTGTCTCATGATACCATTCTCGCAAAAAGTTTTGCTTCTCTAACGATTGAATTTCATCCTGTGGAGTGGTGCATCGTGCATGATGCGTAATATATAGCCTTCTTAGGTATCACCTTCTCAGTGCCAGTTTTTAAAAGCAGCTCAGCCCCGCTTCGAGCGCCCAGAAATCAATCGCCTCATCATGTCTGTAAACCTCACCCCTGAAGTCCCCGAAAACTGTCGAGCTCCCAATCATCCTATCTTGAGGTTGGCGTTCAAAATCTTGTGCATTATTGCAGTCTCCCAGAAGTCTCTCGACCATTGGAACGATACAAAGAACAAAGAATGGAAGGAGCATGTCTCAGTGATGGTCAATCGCTTCCAGAACTCAAACATCACCGTATGTTTGATCTGATCTGATCTTTATGGCTAGCGCTCAACGACTGGGCTTTAGGCCGGGCTCGTACTCGCAACTACTACTCTATTCCTGTCGTCTGTGCCTCCTATCGAGCATTTGATGGCTTATAACTCTTCAATCTCGTACCTCTTCGCCATGATTTCATTTAGTGCTGCATTGCTCAGCGTGATATCCGGAGCCGCTGTGCTTGTTATCTATGAGACTAGTACCAGTAATAAAGACATGGAGTCCCTCAAAGTGAGTCCGTTTGTCTGGGCTGGCTCATGATTTGACACACGGCACAGCACATGCCACGACACCAAATCATCGCGCTGCTGCTATGGTTGGCATACCCCTCAATCTGTCTGTCAGTCGCTACTTTCTGTTTGTTTCTGTGTAAGTGATGCACTAGATATGCCAGTGATTAGATCTACTTATGAGTATGGTGTTTCCTTTGGTGCAGCTATCTTTATTGCCTGCTTCTGGTCTGACAATATTGTTGTCAACATCATAACTATCATGGGTTGTGTGGCCTTCCTTTCAAACGGAGTCCTTACGATCTACGTATACTACGTCGTGGGCACAAAGTAAGCCAGTGACACTCTTGTTGGATCCGTCTAAATATGCCTTGCAGGCCAGTCGATGATACAAAAAACCTCCCCCGCACAGATTGCTGATAGACGTCATGCTAGTATAGGTGTTGCATGCCTTTGACTTTGACAGTGCTGCTGATGACTGGGTATGATGGTTGCTATCATGATAGACCACTCAGGGTTTGGACGCTTCGGGTTGTACATATCGGTCAGCGGAACTTTCGCTAAGAACCTGTCATGTCTCCTTATCACACTTAATACACGGAAACGTCTCACCACCTCGTGAATGCCCATGCGGACTCTTCATGCAGTAAAGCGCCATGGAGAATAGATGCTCAGGGTCCACATGTAAAGTAATGCAACTGCGAGAAATTCTCGCTGAAATGATTTTGGAACATTAATGTGACTAGTATTCGATTTTATGCACGCCCAAGCGCTCATGTAAACTGCCGTGTACCCAGCATGGTCGCTGATCTTGCAGATTGGTCTCCCGATGCATTCCTGCTGCATTGCTACCGAATCTGGAACCACGAAAACGCGCAAGTATAAGACTCGCCCTGTATGTCAGTTCCATTCAGTAACAACTCAACCCCACAACACTCACGTTACGAGTTCCACCATCGACTCGGATGTCTAGCAATACTTCTATTAACTCGGGCCCTCAAGTCCCGAGAAAATTCTGGACTCCCACTCATCCTATTCTGAAGTCAGCGTTCGAAGTCTTGTGCGTTGTTGCAGTCTCTCGGACGTCTCTTGATCACTGGGAAAACACAGGAAATGAAGAGTGGAAGGAGCATATCTCAGTGATGATCAGTCGTTTCCAGAACTCAAACATCACTGTGTGTTTGATACGATCTGATCTTTATGACCAACATTAAACAATTGAATTTAGGCCGGGCTGGTACTCGCAACTGCCGCTTTGCTCCTGGTGTCGAGCCCTCCTGTAACCAGCTTGATGGCTTTTGACACTCCAGCCTCCTATGTCTTCGCCATCATTGCATTTAGTGCTGCATTGCTCAGTGTAATATCAGGAGCTGCGGTCGTGGTCATCTACGAAACTAGCACCACTCACAAAGACATGAAATATCTCAAAGTGAGTTCTGCTTGTTTGGGGTGTTGCACGGTTTGACGCATGCTGCAGGTCATGCCACGACACCAAATTATCTGCTTGCTGTTGTGGTTGGCATACCCCTCGATTTGTCTGGCAGTCGCCGTCTGCTTTTTGTTTGCGTGTAAGTGAGTGAGTTTAGCAGAAGTGCTCCTGTTGATGATGTATGATATTTTCTTTGGTGCAGCTCTCTTCATCGCCTGCTTCTGCTCTGGAAATGTCCCTGTCCAAGTCATAACCGCCCTGGGTTGTTCGGCCTTCCTTATTAACGGAATCCTTACGCTCTACGTTTTCAATTTTGTGGGCAAACCGTAAGTAAATAATACTTTTGTTTGAACCTGTCTCAATTAGCTCGCAGGCCTGCCGATAGTGGAATGGATTCTACAAGCAAAGTGGTATGATGATTTGGTCTGGTGTAGATAAGCATTGCAGACTAGTGGACTCGCAACGGGACTTTTGCCATTGGAATTCCGAGTTTCTACTTCACATTTAGTTTCAGTGTATGCCAACTATGGTCGGTGGTGTTAAATATACTGAGCTCGAAGATAGGTGGGTAACTTATCCTGCCATTACGTGTGTGGTTTCGACACGTTTCGACTGGCAGTCGCTACATGCTCCTGCTGATGTGACTTACTGGATTTCCCTCGACGCAGCTCTCCTTATCGTCTGAGACTTCTATTCTAGAGATATAATATATTCTTATTCATGTCATGTTGCCACCTTCAAGTTGGGCCTTTCTCACGGAGTCCTTATGCTCATGCTTGTGAACATGCCGCAGTAAGCTTAGGAAAGGGATCCCCCAAGGCAAGCCCTTGCGCCCAGCGAAACAGATGGCGTCCTTGCAACCTGCCACTCTGTCAATGATGCGACCAGAATTAATTGACATTGACCAAACATGGACCAGGGTTTGCCCAGGGTTGAACGCCTCCAATTGCTTGAAGCTCCTCCAAGTTGGTAATATTTAACATATTGGTCAGGGGAAATGCATATTAGAACTTTCCGTGTATTGTCACTCCTGCGGCACCTGACCGTCACCGCTTATGCTACTACTTAGTAATATCAGTAGATGTGCTACAACATTACTAATTAGAGGGAAAAGTCTACCACACAAGACTTCAGCGATTTCTTCAGCAATTAGCAGTGACTTGTAAGGTATTTTCTTACCGGCTATTACCCAGCTGTACCCGGTGTATAGCCGGGTGGCTATATCCGGTGTATAGCTGGGTGGCATAAGCCGGTAATTCCCGTTGATTCTCCGCACCGTCTCCCACGACCTACCAACATGCGAGCTCATCGTCGTAGATGACGAGCTTGCTTATACAGCTCAAATTCAATCCTTTTTCAAGCGCTTTTTTGCCTCTTTGAATGGGGACATGTATTTTATTTCTCTACCAGCAATATTTAATGGCCCTATCTAGTGCATACAGGTATGTTCATGCTCTGGGGCTAGCTTACTAAGCTTTCTAATCCTCTCCATCCCACCATCAATGATGGGGAAGCAGCCCACTCTCTGTTTGACATTGCGCTGTGTGATGATGACAGTCCTACATAGCTCTGGTCCACATACTTAGTCAGCTGGACTCTCTCATATACACCAGGATTGCCTTGAGGCTGAACACTTGAGAGAACAACAAGCTCATGGTAAGCCCTATGTTACTATGTCCTTGTCCTTGCATTTACTTTCTTTCCCTCATCTGTCCCTCTAGATAAACACCTTTTGCTTGCCACTGAAGCCACTATTGAGACCAGAACCATATTCGACACTGATGACTTCCATGTTGGCAAGATTGATGTGTTCAGTACATACTCCAAGTTATTTTCATTATGATCAATAGGTCTTACATTACATAGATTATCATCCAGTGTGTGAGATTGCACAAAATCATGATGAAGCTGCAAACATAGCGCTATTGTGAGTCGGTCTGCTCAGTTGCTCTCCTACAACTCCAACAGTCGTGATCACTCTACCATGTCTTGAACTTTACCATCAGCTTTGATGATGACAGTTGTCATTCAGTGTCCAGGCCTTCACCAAAGTGTTATGTGCACTACACAATGTATGTCACACCATTTGCAAAGTATATTGGCTCACTGTTTAGTTTAGGTCACATATATCAAAATATTTTGTGAACAATTTGTGATCGCTTTTGATGTCTACCTTGCTATCATTTGCGAGATTCGATCATGCATTGATGTGGTATTTGGTCAATCTGACCCTGACTGGCGACTTCACAACAGCTGCCCTGCATGTACCTTCAAGGTCAGTAGTACTGGTGCTCTCTTTTTTGGTTTTGAATGTGTTTAGCAGCAACCTGATGAAGTTGCCTTGTTTCCTGCATCTCTCAGGGCTATGGATGGCAACAATTCTGCAAAATGAATGGATAATGTAGGCTATACTGACTGCTGAATTTATTCAAGTAGGTATATGATCATGTCAGAAGATGTCGACAAGTTTAAAGATGACATGTGCTTATGTCCTGGTGAACAGAGTGTTGGCAATGAGTCTGTTCAACCAAACGAATCTCTTACATGCATGGACAACTGGCAAGCAGCCAATTCTATGTCTGGGAGTGAGAACACTGTCCATGTCTTCAAGCAGACAGGAATCTTTTTATCTGCATGTCAGCATGGAATTATTCAGACTCTTACCAAAATGAGGTGCAGTGGAGAGCTGTACATTATTTTTATTTATTTACCTTATCACATCTTGATTGCTTCTAGGGCAAAGTACCCTCTGGCAACAATCAACAAACTAATTGATGTGTTTGGCGACCACCTTGGCATTGGTAGTGACATTGGATGCAGTCTTCAAAAAACAGTTGTTGCAAGCTCAATTTGACAGAAAGCTGGCAACCATCATCTTATTCTTGCTGTCAATGCATTTCATGGCCACACGCACAATCGCAAGTGCCAGCTGCAACATCACCCTCTTTACTTGCGTGGATTTGGGCTTGAGGACTTGGAGACATGCAAGTGCATGTTTGCAGCCTCTAACACTGCAGTGCCACTTATACATCATGCATCACGTTTTCATTATGTTCAGTTCCTGGAGCTTCATTTTGACCAGTGGGATATTGATAAGTACCTTGAACTTAGTGAGCACATGACTTAATATATTTTGGGTCATTCAAACATTTGATTTAGGCCGGTTTATTCTGAATAACTACAAGCAAGCGCTAACTATGATCTCTGACTACACCAAGGAACTTGAAGCTTATTGTGCAACATTCCCTGGGCAGGGACTTGATTTTGAAAGTTGGATTGCAGAAGAGCTTGCTTATCTGGAGGCCATGGCTGTAGAGCCTGTGCAGGATGCTACTGTGGTTGAGTACATTGAAGTGCTTGAGAAGCTCAATAAGTACCAGTGAGTCATATTTTTTAAGTTTGCTCCATAAATTATGGACGTGTTTCAGGGCCGCTTTTGAAGCTTCACATAACAACCAATTTGTGTCATACACACCCTCATTTAGGCCAGACTTGGGCCTTAGTCAAGATGCTTTGCACGTGACAAAACAAGGACATGCAGTTCAATGTGCTACTGAGCGGTGCCTGCAAGTCCAGATAAGTGTTGTTGAGGATATTGAAGATCAAATAGGTGTAGTCACACAATGGTCCCCTCAGTCTCGTGAGTATATTGATTCACTGGAATACAGCCAAAAGCATCAATTTATTTGTGCTGTTGAAGATCTTGAAGGTCTTGTTGTGCAATGCATGTTTGAGCTATCTAAGGCAAATCTTGCATCCACAGGTAGCTATCAATCTTCATGCATATTTTGCCACTCATATGATTTTAGGCTATAAACTTCGGAAACAGATCTCCAAAGCCATTGTGAAACATTCTGGTGCAATCCAATCAGCACTCAACAAATACAACAAACTCGCTGTCTCTCAAAATCCCCAATGGCCTATGCTTCAGTACAGCAAGGTTATGTCTTATGCAGCTCTTGGCAAGTTTGAGATTCTCAAGTGCTTGCATTATGACATACTTGCAAAGCTATTTCGCAATGGCACCCATTGCGAAATGGCTAATAAGTATTTCAAAATCATTCATGTGCAGGAAGCAATAACTCGACTGAATGTTGAAATATGATGCCTGCAGGCATGGGTTGACACAGAGGATTCTGATATTGAGTGGATGGCTATGGAACTTGATTCAACAGATTGTCATATCCCACAATCTGGACTCACATTCCATAATATTCCCACGCCTTCCAAGCCTACATCTGGACCCCACTTCATATCCAACCCATTCCCAGATCCCCTTCTGCTGTGTGCTCCACACCTCAGTAGGATCAACTCTGCTCTGGATTTACCCCTGAGCTCCAGACCTCCAGATCCTCACTGCTGGCCTGATCTGTACCACCCTATCCCATCCACCCTATGCACACTCCATCCAGCAAGACACCCAGACTTCACCTTGTCTTGAGTTCTGGACTATATCCACCTCATCATATTCCAGTCCTATATCCACCTGTCTTCCAGATCCCCAGATCTTCGGACCTCCGGATATTAACTCCAGACCTATTCCTACCCTCTGTCTGATATCCTGCGCCTATCCCCATTTAGGCATCTCTGCCTTTCTGGCTTTCAGTTACCTCCTGTTCTGTCTTGCTGATTGATCCTTGTATGAATCTTCATCTCCAAGTTCATTTAGTTATGTTCTGTCTTACTTACTAATGTGTTTCCACATGCTTGTACATAGCCTTGCTCCTTTGCTTACTGATCCTCTCAGATAGTCTCCAGTATATAACCCCTGAAGATACTCCTGTAGTTTCCTTAGTTTGAATATCATCTTAGATCCTGTTCTACTTGCCCAATCCTCTCTCAGACTTTGGTCCACCTAAGTCTGTCCTATCCATCAGGCCTAGGGATTGATTCCCTAGGCCGGAGCTCCGCCTTTCCAGCACTTACCCTCTTTCTGGACTTAGGTCCAATCCCTGTCCCTCTGACTCTACCTTAGGGTAGTCTATCTCTGTTTGTTTCTACATTGGACTTTGTCTGATGTAGCCCCTATTCCTTCCATACCATCAGATGTCCTGCCCTCTGTACCTTTGGATGTCCTATCCTCCTGTCCTTCTGTCCTCCATCCTTCTGTCCTTCTGTCCTCCTGTCCTCCTGTCCTCCGGACCTTCAGACCTCCTATCCTTCCATCCTGTTTCCTGTAGAAGTATTACCTTGCAGTGGGAACTCTCCTGAGCACTTCCTGTGTTCCTCTGGAACTCTCCTGTGCTCCTCTGGAAGTCCTTTAGCACTCCACCAGAGTAGCCAGCCTCCAGAAGTCCTCCAGACTTCATTGGACCATCATTGGACCTCATCTGAAATGAAGGGCCCATACTCAGGTAAGGGGCACAGTGTACAAGTTGAGGCCAAGCCCCTCTGAGTCAATCTCTCTCCCCCTTGAGCAACATGGTTCTTAAGACAGATACACTACTTGCTGTAGAGTTGTGGTTATTGTTTAATCGTCAATGCTGGATTAATGACATGCATCGCAACCACCTTGCACGCATATATAGCTTACCAGGATACACCAGTTCTATCCCCTTGCAAATGAACGCTGTGGTCACTGGCAGCAAGAATGAGGAGGGATGTGATCTGATGTTGAAAGGTGAGCAGTTGGCACAGTTTGAGTCCTGTATTCAGCAGATTTCACAGTAATGTTTAGTGTAGCATGATGTTGCTTTACAATAAATTTTAAAAGTACAAGAATTTAACACAAATAGTATCTGAAGGAATATTGCCATTATACCAATACATTCATTCAGAACAATTGTGAGGTAGGAAAGTCAAGATGTTGCCACTTGTGACTAACCTTACTAAGTGCAAATGATTTAGCACTTTTCATTTGGGGACAGTGAACTTGTCAATTGATCTGCTTTCAGGACCCACATTCAGAATCTAGTGGTTGACCTGCAAAAGGATGGCCCAGTTTTCTTGATCTTTCATTCATGCTATCTATCTACCATTGAACTCTACATAGAGCATTATCTATCTACTGCTGATACATAATGTTCTACAGTGGCTCAAAAAAGTGTCTCAATGTTTGTGACTTTTCATGTAGTTTCTTTATCATGAGCCAGGGTGTGAGAATATGACTAAGCCATAGGGAGGTGTGGGAAAGCTCTGCCTCTAAGCTTTAGGTTTGATCCCTATAGCGTGGGAAGATTATGTCATCAAGTGAAGATATGGTTGATTTAATTTGGTAACTCATTGAGACACTTTTTTGACTTTCAGTTTGGCCAACACAATTTCTATAATTTGAGTACTTGGTGTTTCCTCCTGTTGCTCTAATTACTTCTACCACTCTTCTATGCATACTATCTATCAATTTGAGGCATTACTCATCAACAGTCTTGCCCCACTCTGCTATAACTCTCTCCCATGGCTGACATAACCCCTATCTAGAATCTTGATAGACTGCAAGTGATATCTTGAGTAATTACCAGGGCTGTTCAACAGGGTTGAGGTTTGAGGACCAGACTTGCCATGATAGAACACTGATACCATAGGTTTCAAACCATTTTATGGTCAACTTGAAGTATGCTTAGGGTTATTGTCTTGTTAGAAGGTAATGTTCTCTCCATTAATCCTGGATTCTTGCATGCTTCTGAGCAGATACTTCTCCAAAATTGATATGTGCTACTCTGTATTCATCTTCCCCCCCACCTCACAGAGAATTCCTACTCTATTCCACCTCATACAACACCATACCATCAAGTTTCCTACTCCATACTTTAGTGCTTTCTTGACTTTTCTGTCTTCTAGTAGTTCTTCTGCCTTGCATCACATATATTCCTAGCCATCTGACCCAATCCTATTGATTTTTGTCTCATCTGACCAGGTAGCCCTATTCCAGTCCTCAACAGTCCAATATTAAGGCTTCAATGCAAAGGCTAGTATCTTCCCTCTATAGGCTGAAGACAGGAAAGGCTTTTTCTGCCTGTTTACAGCTTTAAGATTGGCTGCTTTAGGAGTAATCCTGATTATTCAAGTGGAGAGAGTAGTGTAGATGATGTAATTAATGAATTTGGTGGCTTGAGTAGCATTGGCAGCCTGCCTAGTTGGAATATTCTGAACAAGAGATTTTTTGTTATATGGTATACAGTGGCTCAAAAAACTGTCCGCATGTTTTGACATTTTTCACTATCTATGATATTGTGTGAGAACTCACATATGGCTCAAGGACATGCTTATACCACATTGTAGTATGGCTTCAGGGCTTTCATTTGAGCCCTACACCGTGGGAATCGGTGGAGATATGGTGGAGATACAAGGCTCACAAAATGGTGACTCATGCGGACAGTTTTTTGAGCACATATTAAAACTATATAAATCATCATTTATGACACCATAACAATCATGCCACCATTAAATAAATTATAAAGTGGTGTCATTATGTCATTTTAAAACCATATCTAACTATACAAACCAAAAATTTCCATATGTCATGGTTATATTCACCATGAAAGCCACCCCCCCTGCTCAAAGGGATAATATCCTCTCTCTTTCCTATTCTGGCCTCTCTGCTTGTCAAATTTCCTCTAGAACTGGAGTATCCAAGTCCACTGTGGCCAAGTTCATCAAAGAAAGTCACACAGACAAGGAAAACTTCTGTGAAGGGCGTCCATCCAAGCTCACCTCTACTGATAGGAGGGCTATTATCCAACATATCACTACAGGAAAGGCTGATAATGCTGTCCAGGTCACCTATTACATCAATTCCACCATCACATTCCCTGTCTCTTCACACACTGTGAGAAACATTCTCAAGACAGCTCATCTCAGGTCAGTAACAAGGAAGAAAAGGCTCTCCTCTCTATCACACATAAACAGAGATGACTAACCTTTGCCTTAGCCCATCAGAATTGGATTACATAGACTGGAAGCATGTTATATGATCATATAAGACCACAATAAATAGGATTGGGTCAGATAGCAAGGTATATATGTGAAAAAAGAAGGGTGCTAGTCCTCTCTGCATATGTGTGATAGAGAGGAGAGCCTTTTCTTCCTTGTTACTGACCTGAGATGAGCTGTCTTGAGAATGTTTCTCACAGTGTGTGAAGAGACAGGGAATGTGATGGTGGAATTGATGTAATAGGTGACCTGGACAGCATTATCAGCCTTTCCTGTAGTGATATGTTGGATAATAGCCCTCCTATCAGTAGAGGTGAGCTTGGATGGACGCCCTTCACAGAAGTTTTCCTTGTCTGTGTGACTTTCTTTGATGAACTTGGCCACAGTGGACTTGGATACTCCAGTTCTAGAGGAAATTTGACAAGCAGAGAGGCCAGAATAGGAAAGAGAGAGGATATTATCCCTTTGAGCAGGGGGGGTGGCTTTCATGGTGAATATAACCATGACATATGGAAATTTTTGGTTTGTATAGTTAGATATGGTTTTAAAATGACATAATGACACCACTTTATAATTTATTTAATGGTGGCATGATTGTTATGGTGTCATAAATGATGATTTATATAGTTTTAATATGTGCTCAAAAAACTGTCCGCATGAGTCACCATTTTGTGAGCCTTGTATCTCCACCATATCTCCACCGATTCCCACGGTGTAGGGCTCAAATGAAAGCCCTGAAGCCATACTACAATGTGGTATAAGCATGTCCTTGAGCCATATGTGAGTTCTCACACAATATCATAGATAGTGAAAAATGTCAAAACATGCGGACAGTTTTTTGAGCCACTGTATGCTTGAAAGGACAATCTATTTTGATATTTGTCTTACCTGGAATGACTTTTTTATGATCCTAATGATAGTCACCCTGCTCAGACCAGTTTTAGTAGCAATCTTCCTAGTATACTGATTAGAAGAGCTGAGGATAATAATAGGGGCTATTTCAGCTGTGTGTCATATCCCATATGCCAGACATAGGTCCCATCATATTCCCACGCTTTCCAGACCTATTTCCGGACCCCATATCCGACTCATTCCTGGATCCCCTATCCTGTCCACCCTACACACATTCCATCCAGCAAGACATCTGGACTTTACCTCCTCTTGGATTCCGGACTACATCCACCACCTCACATATCTCAGTCCTGTTTCCATCCTGCCTTCCAGATCCCCAGATCTCCGGACCTCCAGATATTATCTGTACTATCTCTGGACCTATTCCCACCCTCCATCCAAGATCCTGTGCCTATCCCCATTTAGGCATCTCTGCCTTTCTGGTTCTTGGTTATCTCTTTTTCTGTCTTGCTGATTGATCCCTGTACTAGTTTCATCTCCAAGTTCATTTACTTATGTTCCGTCTTACTTACCAATGTGTTTCCGCATGCTCGTACATAGCCTTACTCCTTTGCTTACTGATCCTCTCAGATAGCCTCTAGTATATAACCCCTGTACAACTACAGTAGAGTCCTCAGTCTGAATATCATCTTAGATCCTGTTCATCACCTTAGACTTGCCCAATCTTCTTCTGGACTTCAGTCCATCTGAGTTTGTCCTTTTCCATAAGGCCTAGGGATGGATTCCCTAGGCCAGAATTCTGGACCTTCGGATTTGTCCCCTATGTCTCTGTCCCAAGTCTAGGGATTGCTTCCCTAGGCTAGAGTCTTGCCTTTCTGGCACTTACCCTCTTTCTGGACTTAGGTCCACTTCCTGTCCCTCTGACTCTGCCTTAGGGTAGTCTACCTCTGTTTGCTTCTACATTGGACTTCATCCAATGTAGCCCCTATTCCTTCTGGACCTCCAGACCTCCTGTCCCTCATACCTCTGGGCATCCTGTCCTCCATACCTCCAGACCTCCTGTCCTCCATACTCTGGACCTCTGGACATCTTGTCCTCCTGTCCTCTGGACCTCCTATCCATCCATCCTGTTTTCCTGTAGAAGTATTACCTTGCAGTGGGAACTCTCCTGAGCACTTCCTGCATTCCTCCAGAACTCTCCCGCACTCCTCTGGAAGTCCTCCTGCACTCTCCACCAGAGTAGCCAGCCTCTGGAAGTCCTCTGGACTTTGTCAGACCATCATCGGACTTCCTCTGAAATGAAGGGCACATACTCAGGTAAGGGGCACAGTGTACGAGCTGAGGCCAAGCCCCTCTGAGTCAGTCTCTCTCTCCTTTGAGCATGGTTCTTAACACTGTGGGAGAGAGTTATAGCAGAGTGGGACAAGACTGTTGATGAGTAATGCCTCAAATTGATAGATAGTATGCATAGAAGAGTGGTAGAAGTAATTAGAGCAACAGGAGGAAACACCAAGTACTCAAATTATAGAAATTGTGTTGGCCAAACTGAAAGTCAAAAAAGTGTCTCAATGAGTTACCAAATTAAATCAACCATATCTTTACTTGATGACATAATCTTCCCACGCTATAGGGATCAAACCTAAAGCTTAGAGGCAGAGCTTTCCCACACCTCCCTATGGCTTAGTCATATTCTCACACCCTGGCTCATGATAAAGAAACTACATGAAAAGTCACAAACATTGAGACACTTTTTTGAGCCACTGTATGTAGGGCTCAACCAATTCAAGTTATCAGCACTCAATGGTAGATAGATAACATGTAACAGTTCTACATAGTAGTTAGATAATGTTCTATATATGTAGAGTTCGACACATGATCTCAATGTTTGACTTTACTACTACCTTCTAAATGCCTGAAACTCATACTTGTGATCATGTCCAAGAGGGTCATCTGCCTCGACCAATTCATTGGCTACAATACTTGGATCTTGCTTTCTTCAACAATGACATGAGCTTATTGGTGAGTCTCTTTTTCTACTTAGTTATCACAATTCTTATGCAAAGCTAGCGCAACTATCTTGCCATCCACTTTCATGCAACTTTTGACTTTGAACACTCCCCCACTCCCCCGAGTCACCTCAAACAATTCATATCTGCCAAGGAAAGGGAGGCAAGCCACAAAACTTTTTGGCTATTTGGTCACCAGATATCAAGCTGCTCACTACTTCATCTCATCCACCTGTTCCTGCTCTTGCAGATGCTATCACTGGAATCTCCAGAATACTTCAAAATTGAGTCTTACCTGAGATTTGTGAGGAGCTTTTCAATGGTTATTGGGCCTATGTGAAGATACTGCCTCACCTTCAGCTAAAGAGTAAGTGATCCACATTGGATCTTCAAACTGGATCTGATGGTCTCTTACTTTGATATCAGCATCTGAGTCTACTCTCAGTGCTGTCACTCATGCCATGACTTCGATCACACCTCCAAACAACACACAAACATCAGCCCTTTTGGCACCCACTTCTTTGGTTCCAATTAGTCCTCGTGAGACTGTGACTACCAGCGCTTCAACCACACCATTAGCTTCGGGGGCTGTTAGTTTTGAGATGGTTAAGGCTGGGCTTGCTATTCACCATCTTCTAAGGGGTGTTTTGCGCGAAATACACAGCTGCATTAACCAAGATGCTGGGTTCAAAGTGCCTCAATGGCAGTATGTCCTTGAGGAGAACCTAATGTTTGAACCTTTGATGTCAACCATGCTGAAACTCATGCATGCCATTTTGGCAGGTATTACTAGTGAGTTAATTTCTGCTTCATGTTATAGTTGACCATGTGTTAACAGTATATATTAGTTTAGATCCTTGCAATTATTACTAGTCTATCTAACATTATAAAATTTGATTGTGTCTGCAGAAAAAATTTACTTCCAGTTCTCGCCATGGTCCCCCCCTCAAGTATTTAAGTTGGAGGCATTTGAACCTCCTTCTCTGCCAATTTTCAAGATCACCTGTCCCCCCTCAAATATTTAAGTTGGAGGCTTTCAAACCTCCTTCTCTGCCAATTTTTGAGACAATGGCATGCACTGGGAAGACACGTGTTGTTAAGAGGGTCCATCCACAGCTCACTACCTCTCAGAAGGCTACTTGTCATGAAAAGTTTGTATCCCTTACTAATGACATCAATGATACATGAGCATCCTACATGGACAAAGTCCAAGGACTTGCAAAGAAACATGGGCAGTACATTTATCATAAAACTATTGCGATAATAGTACTAATTCATTACCAGGTCCGAGCACTGGACATGGCGTCAGTTATACCTTGGCAGGAAAATTGTCCGTTGTCAGCATGCTCCAAATGCATGGAATGGGTTTGTTTGTCAGTGCTTGAATGACATAAATGAAGGTGTGTTGATTCAGTATGTTCCTTGTTAGTAGAATTAACACAAGTTCTTAGGTCCTTTGTGTGGTGACTGCTGGAAGTTGACAGAGTTTGTTGAAGATCACAAGGAGACTCTCAAGCATGATTATTCAAAGCTCACTGCTGCTCAGAAAAACACATTTGTTAACCAGGTTATGAAGAAGTGCATTGAAAACCAAAAAATTGTCTATGACAACCCAAAGGCTGTGCAGCATGATATGCTCGCATCCTTTGCTGCAATGGATCAGGAGGTTTGATTTAATTTGAGTTGCTACACTCATTTGCTAACATCAGTACTTAGTGGACGTGTTAAGAACCATGTTGCTCAAAGGAGAGAGAGACTGACTCAGAGGGGCTTGGCCTCAGCTCGTATGCTGTGCCCCTTACCCGAGTATGTGCCCTTCATTTCATATGAGGTCTGATGATGGTCCAATGAAGTCTGGAGGACTTCCGGAGGCTGGCTACTCTGCTGGAGAGCACTAGGGGACTTCCAGAGGAGCGTGGGAAATGTCCGGAGGAGTGCGGGAGAGTTCTGGAGGAACACAGGAAGTGCTCTAGAGAGTTCCCACTGCAAGGTAATACTTCTACAGGAAATAGGATGGAAGGATAGGAGGTCTGAGGGTCTGAAGGACAGGAGGGCAGGAGGGCAGGATGATGGAGGACAGAAGGACAGGAGGACAGGAGGGCAGGATGATGGAGGACAGAAGGACAGGATGTCCAAAGGTACAGAGGGCAGGATGTCTGAGGGTTAGGAGGATGGAACGTCCAAAGGTATGGAGGGTGGAATGTCTGAAGGTATGGAGGGTGGAATGTCCGAAGGACAGGATGCCTGGAGGTATGAGGGACAGGAGGTCCAGAGGTCTGGAAGGAATAGGGGCTACATCGGATGAAGTCTGATGTAGAAACAAACAGAGGTAGACTACCCTAAGGTAGAGTTGGAGACACAAGGGTTGGACCTAAGTCCGGAAAGAGGGTAAGTGCTGGAAAGGCGGAGCTCCAGCCTAGGGAATCAATCCCTAGGCCTGATGGGTAGGACAGACTTAGGTGGACCAAAGTCCGAGAGAGGATTGGGCAAGTCTAAGTTGATATTCAAACTAGGGAACTACAGGAGTATCTATAGGGGTTATATACTGAACAATATCTGAGGGGATCAGTAAGCAAAGGAGCAAGGCTATGTACAAGCATGTGGAAACACATTAGTAAGTAAGACAGAACATAAGTAAATGAACTCAGAGATGAAGACTCATACAAGGATCAATAAGCAAGATGGAAGAAGAGGTAACCGAAAGCCGGAAAGCAGAGAATGCCTAAATGGGGATAGGTGCAGGATATCGGACAGAGGGTGGGAATAGGTCCAGAGCTAATATCCGGAGGTCCAGAGATCTGGGGATCCAGAAGACAAGGTGGATACAGGACTGGAATACAAGAAGGTGGATATAGTTCCGGAATCTGAGACGAGGTGAAGTCTGGATGTCTTGCTGGATGAAGTGCGCATAGGGTGGACAGGATAGGGTTGTACAGATCAGGCTAGCAGTGAGGATCCGATGGTCTGGAGCTCAGGGGTAAATCCGGAGTGTAGTCGATCCTGCTGAGGTGTGGAGCACAGCAGAAGGGGATCTTGGAATGAGCTGGATATGATGTGGGGTCCGGATGTAGGCTCGGAAGGCGTGGGAATATGATGGAATGTGGGTCTGGATTGTGGGATATGACAGGATGGCATTATGTTTGCAACTTGGAATTGAAGGGTTTTACATAGCTGTCCAAGGAGGTGTTGAGGATCTTAGCAGACCTAAGCTTTTCTTTTCTGAGAAAGCAGAGAAGTTCACACATGCTGTTCTTGACTTGGAGCCATGGCACTTGGCTTTAAAACTTGAAGCTTTTGTTGTGTCAGGGCTTGGTAAGTTTTTATTTCAATTCATTTGAGCCCTCTTTCCAATATTATATTTGATAGATACCAATGTTTCAACCACTCAGCCTCGTTCTCTCAACAAGATGATTAGCAAATGCAGGACACATCTTCAAGATGAATTAGGTAGGCTACATTTATGTATTCTCTTATCTGTCTATCAACTAATAACTGTTATACTATCAGACTATATCTTGCAAGAGAACAAGATTACTGACTGCAAGATCACAATGAACTACACTAACTACAAGTGTTCCATTGTCAAGCGCTATGGTGTCACATTACAGGGTTGGCCCTCAGCCCTTTTGCCTGTCTGAAATCCCTCACACATAGGTGGATGAGAGCAGGTACAAGCACTGCTCAATGCACTTGACAATAAGACTTGTACTTGGACAACTCTCACAAAGGACGAGCTTCAGCAAAGGATGACCAGTAATCGAGCACATCATGCAAATGGTGAGGTGGTGTACAAGCCAAGGAAAAAGTGCGCCACCAAGACTGCTGAAAAGAGTATGGTCATCATCAGTAGTGATACAGATGGGTCATCAAGTTCATCCTCTGAGTCAGAGGATGAGTAGTAGCCCTTAGTTTCCTTCCAAAAATTTCAACCAATGGGACACACATGTCCTGTATCTTCGTCATTAAAAGCAATATAATTTTTTACATTACAACATAAAACTATCAATAGCGGCCTCAGTGGCAAGCAAATATGAAGGATTATGGAAGTCATCAGCATCAAATATGGTTCCAGTCTTGATAGCGGCCTCAGTGGAAAACAAAAGGTGTTTATCTAGAGGGACAGATGAGGGAAAGAAAGTAAATGCAAGGACAAGGGCATAGTAACATAGGGCTTACCACGAGCTTGTTGTTCTCTCAAGTGTTCGGCCTCAAGGCAATCCTGGTGTATATGAGAGAGTCCAGCTGACAAAATATGTGGACCAGAGCTACATAGGACCATCATCATTACATGGTACGATGTCAAACAGAGAGTGGGCTGCTTCCCCATCATTGATGGTGGGATGGAGTGGATTAGAAAGCTTAGTAAGCTAGCCCCAGAGCATGAACATACCTGTATGCACTAGATAGGGCCATTAAATATTGCTGGTAGAGAAATAAAATACATGTCCCCATTCAAAGAGGCAAAAAGCACTTGAAAAAGGATTGAATTTGAGCTGTATAAGCGAGCTCATCGTCTACGATGATGAGCTCACATGTTGGTAGGTCATGGGAGATGGTGCAGAGAATCAATGGGAATTACTGGCTTATGCCACCCAGCTATACACCAGGTACAGCTGGGTAATAGCCAGTAAGAAAATACCTTACAAGTCACTGCTAATTGCTAAAGAAATCACTGAAGTCTTGCATGGTTGCCAGTCCTCACTGTGGATAGTAGTTCCAGTGAAATTCAGTGGATGAAATCATATGATAATGGTCTGAAACTCAGAACATTAGGTGCTGAAATCAGGGTGCTGAAATTGCCATTTTTTACTCTGAAATTTTACTCTGAAATGATGCACTGAATTCATGCTAGAATGACAGTGGGGCAAAACTATTGAACCAGACTACATAGACACCTTAGTAAGACGGCTTAGTACAACCCACCTGTGACACGGGATAATTTGCAATTGGCAGGGATTGAACAAAAGACCTCATGCAATTGTACCGTGTTCTTACCACTAAGCCACAAGTCCTTTGGTATGTAGAGACAATTACACCAATATATACAAGAGGCTTGCAGCTGGGTGGCTGAGGCATTGATGTCCGATAACAGCTACACAGTGGATCGATCTCCTGAACTACATGCTACTTAGTAGAATTGGAGTGTACTTATTTAAATACATACTCATTGGTGCTGAATTCTGATTCAGTAGATTTTTACACTGAAATTCAGAATCAGCGCTCCAATGAAATTAACTGCATGCAATTTCAGTGGATGTTACTCTGAAATATTCAGCATCAGAGCTTTTCCAGTGATTTTCATTAGAACCACTATCCACAGTGTCCTTATTGCGGTACTTGTCATGGGAATCGTTCAGCCCCTTTTATGTCCCCTGACAAAGGATCATCTAGGGAAGTGAAAACAACCAGGAAGGCACACCATGAGCATGGCCATATCTGCTTTTGCATTTCAAAGTAATGGCTAACATAGAGCCCCGCGCGCTTCAACGGACAGAGATCAAAAAACTCGGTCGAACAGCGATGCCAGAAACAATCTACTACACCAAATATCTAAAACCAATCGGGACCTGAAGCTCTCTAATATCCTTCTCATTCCGCTCGTTTATCTCAATCTGCTCATTCAGATGCTTCAGATATAAATACATCCCACCAAACATGGCTGTGGAAACCCCCATTGCTGCGATGCTGACGACATAGGAATAACGATATGTTGGGCCCCAGTTCAGCGGCCATGCGTACCTATGAGAGAGGTGCGGTTGTGGATAATCAGCAAGAGCGAGAAATCAATGACAATGACACTGACGATCCAGCAATATTGCCTATCTGCCCCATTCCGTTCATCAAAGCAATAGCAACAGCTCGCTTCGCAGGTTCTCTGGCGAAAGTGTTGTTGGCCCACCCCCATAGCACCAGATATCCAGCGATGAGTTGAGCCATCAGGAACCTGTGTGTCTCTGAGTACAAGTGATGCCTTATGAGCGGTGGCCCTAATTACATCGAAATATAGCGCGCAGCTTTGTTCATTGTAAACATCGATATGATGTATGCAAAGGCACCGAGTGCATTGGAGGCAACATAATATTTGTAACGTTTCTGCTTCTTGTCAGAGTACCTGATCTCCGTGAAATGCGATTTTCCAATAAAAATGGTTCACTTACCATGTAAGAGCAAATGCCGCTATAGCCGCGAACGCCCACGGAGGAGCGCAGAGTAGCAATGTTGTAGTCGTGTCATATCCCAGTGTTGCGCATAGCGTTGGGAAGTAAGCGAAGAAACACTGCGCTATGTACTGGAACATGAACGCAACCGAAAACCACCACACCTTCCAGTCAGACACGGCATCCCACAGTCCTTGCACGGTCGTTTGTTTCCCAAACTTACCAAAGCCATCTTCTTCAAGGCGAGAGATGGCAAGAGCTCTTTCCTCTGGAGTGAGCCACCTGGTATTGTGCGGGAAATCAGGGAGTATGAATATCGCGCAAATCGCGACTAAGATGGTGATGCCCCCTTCAATATAAAATAGCCATCTATAGATCATTCAGCTCCAAGGAGTGACAGAGACTATCTTGCTTGCCTCCATGCAGCTTGACCAAGTTTGCCTTGCATACTGCCAAGTATACCAGATGCAAAAAGGGATCCGAACGCAGCGCTGAATAAAATTCCAGAGGAAATGAGAGCTGTTCTCGTGGCGAGCTCGTCCCGCTTGTACCATCCAGATATAAGAAATAGGGCACCAGGGAGGAAGGGCCCTTCGGCAAAGCCAAGAAAGAGACGGGCGACTAAAACTTCGGTATAACTTGGATCTAGCCATCAGAGATTAGAATGGTGCAGAACTAGAATGTGTACTTCGTTGTGAACCCTAGACACAATTAGCAGCGATATTCATGAACGACCGGTGTCGACAAACCAATCAATACTGATATTCCACCCCATACTATCATACAAGACGGAATAAAGATAGAAGGTCTCTCCAGCCAGTGCAGAAACATGTTCCTAAAGAAAATTCACGTTCACCTGTCTCTTGATGAGGGACAAAACTCACCCTGGCACTTCTATGATGATGAATCCAATATATAGGATGGACAAGACCGTGGCGTATTGCTGCCCCTCTAGGTGCAGGTCTTTCTCAAATCCTTGTAGCCGAGCATTGCTGTGGAAGTCATGAGACTAACGCGAGTACGACGATATCTAACACACCCAACGTTTGATCTGTCGATCTAAAATGCACAGCATGTATCAGAGTAGAGTTTACAAAAAAAACTCAGGCTCACCATGTTCAGAGTATACAAAACCATTATCACGGACATACGTAAATCAAGCTTCCTCACCAATTTCTTTTCAAGGTCATCACGGTCATGATAGGGTACGTCAATGGGGAAGTCGTTAATTGCGTCGATGGTGCCACCCATTTCTGTATCGCTGAGAGCGGGCATCGTTAGGGAGGAGGTAAACGCAATAGCAAGGCTTGTATATCTACTTGGCGACACGTAGGTGAGAAGAACTATACTCCAGTTGGAAACCATACCAGGCTCATCAGAGAACCGAAGAGTCCTCTAGGGCGGGGCCATTACGTTGGAATATGACTTTACAATATTGCTTTTAGCGACGAAAGGTCATTAATTCATATTGACAGCGCACTGTCACTTGACCATAGTAACTGGTAATCGGTTTGGCTAAATGAAAGAGGATGACAACGTTGCAGCAAGACTCTGGGTAGGCATCATGATGACATGATCCGGCAAACTCGGGCGTCTTGCCCAGAGGATATACAATCCAGAATGTGTATTATGGGATGTAGATATATGGATATAAACACACCCCGAAAATTAGCTGATGACAACCACAGCTTGGAAGAGCTTGGAAGAGAGTACCGACGGACCTGCAAGCTGCTGTAAACTGTCTATGTAGTAGCATGGTCAGCTAGACTAGTCAATTGTAGTAATATTTGAACGCGTAAACAAACACCATCAACGCGGTCACGTTGAGCTTCCGTATCGCGGCTCTGTTTTACTCAAGTGTAATTTTGTAATCGCTGGCATTCCAGCACGATTGCGCTGTCACTGATAGAAAATGTATGTCACATACTGGGAATTACTAGAAAGATATGAAATACATAGCAAGGATGCGTAACGCAAACCAGAGACAATTATGCTATTACCGAGTGATCCATCGCCCGAGGTGTCATCTCAAACAAGCCCTCGATTTCTTCCAAGCTCTTCCCTTTAGTCTCTGGCATCAAGAAATGGCAGACAGCAGTGGTGAACAGCGTCGCTGATCCAAAGAAGAAATATGGACCGCTGGGAGAAGTCCGTAGAAAAAGCGGCGCAGTAAGCGCGACAGTGAAATTCACCAGCCAATTACTGAGCTAATAGACATCAGATGGGAGAAAGCGAGGGAAGCACGTAACCTACCTGCTGGACAGCACATGCTTTTGCGCGAAGCCGCGTGGGTATTATTTCGCATGCGTATATTTTAATAACCTGGACGACTTGGAGTCAACTCGCGCATAGTGAATGATGAATCAACCCACCACAGCCCATGACCAAGAGAAACTCGCCTGACGTACAGCTCATTTAGTATATTATGGGTAGGTTGGCATGCGCCGCAGCGCGATACATACCACAAACATGTATATGAATATGATGACGGCCCATTGCGGTCCTTTGCCGCTCAAGTACACCACTCCGTCGGCTTTTCCGCCATAGATCGCATACAAGGCGCCAATGACCATGAAGCAAGTGGCAATAGAAATACCGCCACCAATCAAAGGAAATCTTCGTCCCCACTTGTCCACCCACAGTTGAGCAGGTATAGTGCATATCAAATTGATTATTCCGGAAACACCAGACGCAAGGAAAGCTGCTCGATTCGATGTAAAACCAGCTTGAGTGAACAGGATAGGAGCGTAATAAAGGACCGCATCGATCTAGAAACAAAGGTGTCAACTGAGACGTATCATCGGCCGTACAGGATAACACATACCCCACACAACATCTGAAAAGACATCAGAAACACACCGAGAATGCTCCGCCTGATGTATCGCTTTTGGAATATTTCACGATAAGAAGCATCTTCCCGGCTCTGTTCCTCGAGACTGCCTTTAATCAGACGCAGCTCATCTTCCACGAACTCGTTGCTAGCACGGAGCTTCTGAAGAACTGCACGAGCTTCATCTATTCTCCCCCTCTGGACGAGCCACCGCGGAGAATACGGCATAAATGCCATCCCAGAGACCAAAATAGCAGCCATACTCGCTTCCAAAATAAACGGTGTCCTCCAAGCCAGCTCACCCCCAATTCTTGAAGACGCATACGCAACAAAATACCCCGAGGCGATCCCAATCGTGATAAGCAACTGTAGCACCGTCGCAACCGTTCCTCTAATCTCTTGTGGAGAAATCTCACAGAGATAAATGGTAACGACGGAGATACTCTGACCCTGTCCGATTCCCGTTATCAGCCGTGCGCATATGAGAACAGGGAAAGTTTTCGCAGAGGCAGAGATGATCGTTCCTAGGAGGACTATGATGCCTCCGGTTAGGATCCCGTACTTGCGAGATAGCAAGTCGGCTATATAGCCGCTGCATAGCGAAGACAAGGAAGCAGAGAGCAGAATACACGCGACATAAATCCCAAGGATGTCTGAGGAGAGATGGCCGATAGAACTAGAGAACTGTTCCATTTGGGTGATAGGACCAATAGAACCTGGGAGAGATCATGATCATGGTGACCGATTAGAGGTGTCCGTTGACCCAGGTCTGAAATGAGACTGCGTACCGGTATCCAACCCCCACAGCATCCCAGCGAGGGATGTATGAAAGGCAATCAGGTATATTCTGGTAGTTACAGATACCATTGCTAAGACGGGGTCTCAGCGCAAGCCTGCGGCTATCTGCCATAGTCAGTAGCAGAGCGGCACCCGTACGTACACTCAGACGTAAATGAGCTGCATGTAGAAGACTCCGACGGCCTACCTTCTGCTAAGGAGGGAATGCATCGTGGTCATGGGACGGGTTATTAACTTACTTTTGGTTATGGCCATAACTGAGACGAATAAACATATACGGCGGCGCACGATGTGTGTTCATGGGACGCGTTATATTAATGATGGCCATACATAGCTTAGACGAACATGCATGCACGGCGCCACACGATAAGCACATCCTTCATGTGTACTATAGCTCTGAGCGCTTCTCGGAGCAAGGAACGAATGGGTGGCCGCATCGATTCGAAGTCGAAAATTAGGTTCGAGTCCAAGGTAAGAATTAATTATGGTTCGATTCAAGGGTGCCGGTGAAAGTTACGTTTGATTCCAAGTTTAAGGTGGTAATTATAATGCAACCCCAAAGAGAATTATCATGACATGTGATTCAAATCTGCACTACAACAAATGAAACACGAAGTATGTATGATAGGTACGTATCATCGAGAGCAGTCAACAGTCAGCGAAGCAGCAAGCAGTCAGCACCAAAAACAAAAACATGCGTAAGAAAAATTTCATGAGCCTAGAGGCATTCGTAACATTCATCGTCGCTAGGGAAAAGAAATGGTGTAAAAAGAATGGTGGTGATCGCGCATCGTGCATCGCGTTGCACGTTGTCATGTTTTTGTTTGCATACGAATAGGGCAGCCTTCTCAGAGACAAAGGACGACCATTAAGAGACAAAAATCAAACCTCAAAGACCCCCCTGCGGCGCAGACACGCTCTTCCTACCCAGAATATCCAGAATCTCGGAAATAGTTCGCGCCGCATCCATTGTCTGAGGGCCACCAGGGAGAATCGACAATCGCTGCTTGGTAGTATTCAGCGTAGCCTTCACGTTCGGGACTACTCGCGCGACGTATGGAGCGATCAGAGGTTCCTAAAGTCCAAAAAAACAGTCAGTACCTCGGTAGCAGAACAAGAGAACAGGACATACGTTGATATTCAAAACAGTAGCAGTGCGTTGCATCCACCACAAAGACGACTTGAAGGCTTCGTCCACAGGAGGTGTCTCCGCAATTATAGTGGCAAGCTAGTAAAAAAAAAATCAAAACCAATTAGCAAACAAGTTCCATGAAAGACGCACCCGGTGCAAAATTGACAAATAACAGCCATAGACAACGGCCCCTTCCGGTCCATAGGCATCACAACCTCCGGACTCGACCTCGCAAGGAGCTCCCTCAGCTGCTTCGGGTCCTGCGTCCCTAGAACCGCCATATACGTATCTTCCCATGCATCATGCTGAGCAGGAGGAGACCGCTGGGACAACGGTGGTGGGGGAGGGGGTTGAGGAGGCGCGATGGGGTGAGATGCTTGAGGCGCAGCGATCGTCGAAGGGTACCACGTAGCGTGTGTGTGCATTTGCGTCGGTTGTGGTTGTTGGGAGAACGAACCGAGGGATTGGGAGCCATATACTGGGGCCTGAGTCGTTGCAGGAGGGAGGTTCTGGGAGCGGTGGATGCCCTGGCTCATAGAACTCATGTTTGAGACGCTAGGGACGGGGGAACCGCCAGTTGCCATCCGATGGCTTGCAGCCGAGTTCAGCGATAAGAACTTGACTTGATCGGACAGCATCCTGACGGAATGCTCGAGATCCCTGATCAAGGACTACCCAATTCATCAGAACGATCTCAATTTTGAGAGAAAAGAACGCTCACCTCCTGGCTCCGGGCAGCTTCAGTCTGCCATGACATAGAATCCTTCTTCACATTTAAGATTTCCGCCCTCATCTCCCGAAGGATATCCTGGTGCATAGCCGAAGTCTGCTGGGAGTACGTGGGGATGATGTTCTTCGTGACAGAATCCTTGATGTACCGCTCGATAAGAGGGTTCAGATTCGTCGAGAGGATGCTAGCGAAATGGTTCGAAATATCAGGGCGCAGAAGCAGCTTCTCAATCTCATTCGGAAGGCTCTGCACACACCCAACAAAAATTCAAGTCAGAACCACTCCAACAAAAAAACCGATAGGAGCACAACGTACATTCTGGATGAACTCCGTCAGCCCCCTCCCAACATGCTCATTAAGAGTAGCCCGGACTTCCGCCCTCGTGATATGCTCCAACGCAGGCAGCACTGAGTTCTGGACTTCAGCTTTGACAGCCATCTCAACAACCCTCGTTGTATTCCTTGTAAGCTCCGTCGATATCAACTTCAGAATTTTCTCTTGTCGGTTGAAATCCTCAGCCTGCTCTTGGACGCGCGCTTCTTCCATCCGTTGGTCTGGGAAACAAGGATCAACATTCAAAACACCGCAAAAGGCACACCGGCCACTTACGTTGCTTATCCATCTCCTTCCCAATCAACCGTCCAATACGCGTATGCAAGCTTTCCTCACTCTTTTTGATCTCCTTGGTAACGATTAGTGCAATCCCAGTGTCACTACTGGCTCCCACATCGCCCTTGAAGCTCGTCAACTTCTCTGTTTCCTTCAAATTCGAATTCGCAGCTTCGCGATCCCTGAACGCCACGTTCTTCCCTCGGACGTTCTTTCCTTTGCCTTCTTGCGCACGGACTTCATCACGTGCGATATCGCCCTCGAGTTCTTCGGAGGGAGGCGTTCGGAGTGTACGAGGTGGGATGATACTTCCGGAACCGGACACAGAGGGCTGTGTGGCTGGCACGGGAGCAGGCCCAGGCCCAGGTCCACCGATGCTCACGGGCGCAGGAGGCATCTGACGCCCCGCACCTTTTGCTTCCACGGAGGCCGCAGGCATATAAGGCGGGAACTTTCCAGGAGCGTTCAACACAGCCGCATCGTACCACTCTTTCCTAATCAGGACTTGATCGACACCGGTAGAATGCACGGAGAACGCGACGAGCGCGAGGTCTCCGGGTGGGAGCTTAGCAGCTACGCATGCAGCGTGCGCTTCGTCACCTGTGGGGTCTGCATCTGCTGAGAGTATCACAAAGTGGATAGTCGGTTTCGGCCCGGAGAACTCGACGACTTGCTCGAAGAACCCGCCGCGGACGAGTTCGCCCGAAGACGAAGCGCTAACGTCGAATCCGATACGTAGGGCGATGAGACTGTCGCGCCGGTTGTTGGCAACCCAGAGCGTCTGAATTCGGGAGTCATAATTGACGTGTCCAAACATGTCGGGGTCTTCTTTGCTTCCGTTGACGAATTTGAATGTGGAGAGGACGTTCTTCGTGATGACGGAGAGGAGCTGGAACACGGTGCCGTTCCTCCTCCCGATAACGATGCCATCGTCGATGAACGTCAAAGATGAGGGGACGTCATCGCCACGAACGCGGTGGGTCCAGAAAGGCAGCTTGTCATGGACGTTCCACAGAGTGAGAGTGGAGTCCTCGGAAATAGTAGCCAGCGCAAAATGAGGAACATCAAAATCAAACGCGACCAGGCGCTGTTACGAAGGATGAGAATACACCAAAAAAAAAATTATGAAGCGACGGGACTGACCGATGGCACAGAAAATACTTGAGAAATACGGGTCAATTCAACTTGTGGCAAAGGCTCTCCTCTAAAAGTACGCGCAGCGTCCGCTAGATCAAGTAAATACATTTTAGTCTCAGAAGCCACTGCCAGAGTGTCGGGTTGCTTGGGGTGCCATTTCACGGAGTGAAGAGGGTCCGCGTCAGCGCTGGGGACGATGCATAACAATAGTCGTCCGCTGCAAACATCATTAGACCACGAATATGTCAAGCAATGAGACACTCACGGTACATCATCGGTGATGACCTCAGGTAGTTCCCACACGACAAATCCACCATCGGAGGTGACACCTGCCAGCCTGTTGCCGTACACAGCCATGTCAATGACTGACGTAGAAGGTGCAAAGACGGTCGGCAGCTGAAGTAGAGTACGATCACCGCTCGATCGCGAGATGACACGGACACGGCCCTTGGTCATGGCATACGCAATCCAATGAGTAGCACCAATGGTCGTACCAGGCAAGAACACAGAGTCTTGCTTGACCAAAGCAATTGCAGTAGATTTCACGGCGTCTCTAGGAGCCTGCACGTCGTCCAGCAGCTGCGATACATCAAATACGATAATTTGAGGTTGCGAGCTAAGAAACGAGCGCAAGTCAGTAAAGGCACGTGGAAAAAACGTGGAAAGAAAACTTGCCTTGGACTCGTCTGTGCCTTCCCTTTGCCAAGACCTTTGCCTCTGGATTCATTCTTCCAGGTGTTGCGAGGGCCAGGTGAGACGTCCTTGTCTCGCCTTGCAGGCGGGATAGGAGCCTGACCGAGAGGTGACTCGACAGGGCGTGGCTGTGGACGTGGCTGCTGTGCAGCAGGCTTCGGGGGAGAGCCCCTAGGGGGCGACGCACGGCCAGGCTTTGGAGGAAGAGGAGGGGGCGGGGGCATAGTACGAGGTTGGAGTGGCTGCTGCTGAGGGGTCGGCTGTGATTCCACCTGGGAATACTCGTCTGTGGTGCTATAAGGGTCATAGGTAGGAGATGGAGCCTGTGCAGAGGGATAGGACTGCTGGGACCTGGTCAACTGGTCCATAAGGTTCTCGACAGACTTGCGCTTCGGGTCGTTAAGAGAGCCTAGGGAAGCGGATGTCCACGAATCCTCGTTTGTGCTGGATGCACTTCCGGGACCTACGGCAACAGGCTTCTTCTTTACGGTGGAGGTGGAGTCAAGAGCATCGAAAGGAGAAACAAATTCGAACATGGACTTGCGGGGAGAGGGCGTGAGTTGCTGGGACTGTTGAGGCTGGGAGATGGGTTGCGTATCCCTGGGCTGCTCTTGTGTGATGTAAGGGCCCTCGTTGATATGGTAGGTGTCTCCGATAGAAGACTGCGACATGGACGACTGTCCCATAGAGGACTGAAACTGAGGGCTGGCGGCAGGGGGCAAAGTCGACATTTGTTGTGGAGGGGGCTCCGAAAAATTAGAGCGGGGAGCGGTACTATCATAGAGATCAGCATAAAATGTATCGAGGAAATCCCAAGAGGTCATGGTAGAAAGAGATGGGAAACGATATGAAAAAAAGTAGAATAAAAGGATGTGGAAATTGAAGTGCCTCGTGTATGAAGTGAGGCGGGATCAACACGCAGAGTTGACTCACCCCATGAGCTGTTCTAGGAGGATCTTTCCTTGAGTTTCGCTGCTATTTGAAGGTGATTGACCTGATCTTATAGAGGAAGCAGGAGGAGATGGAATTTGCTGAGACTGTTGAAGTGGTCTCATAGTAGATGTCGAGGTTGCAGCAGGATACAACAAGGAAAGGAGAGCGCTCTGCCTATCAGCTGGAGATGTAGAAACAGCTGGAGCTGGAGCTGTATCATCGTCAGCAATCATGCTTGGAGTAGCAGGTGCTGAATTTCCGTGAGTTGTGATAGATTGAAACAATGAATCAAGATGAGTTGAAGGAGGTGGAGTGACGCTTCCTCTTGAGAAAAGCTTGTCATGAAGATTGGATTGTTCCATTATCAGAACGCAGCTAACAGAGCTGAGAATCGTTTGAAACGAAAAAACTGAACGGTTTAGCCTCGTTGAACACACGAGGTTAGCACGAGGCGCGTAATCCAAATAAGCTCCAACTTCGCATAGCCTTACTATCAAGCCTACTAACGCCTCAAGATAACCCTGAATCCATTGTCTCTACCTACTATGGCCTCATACTAATCTTAGAGTAATCTGTGCCAGACATGCTTTATACGCAGTGAGTGAGCGTGAGCCTTGAATTCATGTCCCTATGATTAGTTTCGTTCATCGACCATCTGAACGCATGCCACGTAGTCTATACCAATCAGAATAGCTTTCAACACTGAATCATCTTTAAGTCGTCTGCAATGTGGAAACGGCGACATCATACTTGTGGCCTCGTTGAAGTCAAGTTCAAGTTCAACCAAAGCATCAAATGCCCTTCTTTCAATAACCGTGGGAAAACTGCGCTGGCCTTTGCCCGTCGCCTCTCATCTAGCCCATAACAATACACGAATTCAATCCTCTCCCTAATCCAAAATGCCCTCTAAAGGATGGTTCAACCTCGAATCCGCAGGTGGCATGATCCCCGAGACCCAGTTCTTTGAGGGGGACTCTGCCTTCAAGTTCCTCGGCCTCACTCGTACACAGAGATTATACGGCTTTGTTGGATGGTGCGCGCTCAAAATCACCATTCACCATGCGCAGCTGAACCTTCCCCAGTCTCATCATAGGGTTCGCCCTCAGCTTACTAGGCAGCATATTGCTTTTCTTGGGTCAGCTCGGTAGTTTTGCAGGTCCGTCTCACTTGTTCTTCCTCCAAGTATCACTGACCACCTCTTCCAAAGTTTTGTACACTATTGGTATCTTGGTATCCCTCGTCGGCACTGGTTTCGTCATTGGAGTGAGTTACGCCCTCTATTGCCACCATTCAGACTAACACCGCGTAGTTTGCCTCGCAAATCAAGCTCGTACGTTTCATGTCCTTCAAGTAGTACAACTCAAACACCTCCGTCATAGATGTTCAAACCCGTACGAATCATTGCCACAGTCGTATTCCTTGGCTCAGTAGGCCTCGTCTTCGTCGGCGCCTTCGTACTCAAGAACGAGGTCAGTGCTCCCTTTCCTGTACCTAGACTACGTGACTAACCCTTATTTCCCAGATACTGTGCATCAGTAAGCCCTAGAGCTCTGGAACTTGCCGACCCTAACGTTTTGATCTTACCAGTTTTCGTCATCGTCGAATACCTCGCCTATATCTGGTACAACCTATCGTATATTCCATACGCCCGATCAGCTGTGCTCAAACTCGTCGGGATGAATTAATTTGATGACATGTATGTTTACGAGATCGTGATGGATAATGCCCGACGTGCTGCTGCTTTGCAATGCTATATGATCTTAATCAGTACATTTGTAGAATTCGTTCTCTCAACCAGACGATCAATGAACACTTTACTTTGCTGTTCTTACTACCCGCACTAAAGCATTGCTCTAACCCCATTTCTCAGTCGACTGAAATCGCAGAAACATACCTCCTCACCCCCTAAAGTTGTTCTTCAGCTCACGCAACTTGTTCATAACAGCACCAGGTTCCTCTGCACCAGTAACCCGCCTATAGCAAAATCAGCATCACGGCTATGGCCAACAAACGCCGCATACTGTATGGCATCTTTATCCAAACGCATAAACACATTCCACTCCTTCTCATCACCAATAGTTGAAAGACCGGTGGTAACCTTGTTCTCCTGTGCAAGCTTGAAAAGTCGTCCGATAGCTGGGTTGTCGGGCTCGACAGTCTTGGCGAACGCAACGTTGCCAGCTGTATATTCGTGGCCGTTGTATACGACCGTGTCGTCCGGGAGCGTCGCTAGTTTGGAAAGGGAGGCGTGCATTTGCTCTGCTGTGCCTTCGAAGAAACGACCGCACCCGCCTAGTGGGGCGGTGTCAATAATGCGAGGAGTTACGGGACTAGCGCATACATACCTAAGAAGAGGGTGTCCCCAGTGAACACACCCCCAGATTGAGACTTGTTGGATGTGTCCGTTACATGGAAGCAAATAGAATCCTTGGTATGGCAAGGAGTTGCCAAGCACCTGTTACGGTTTCGCTCAACGTTTGAATATGAAACAGGGGAAGTTCAGTGGACCCACCGAACGTGTATATTATCACCAACAGTAAACTCGCCACCATCCTCAACGAGGTCAGTTTTAGCAGGCACATCAAAGCCTCCATAAACGGGGATACTAGGATACGTAGAAACCTTGAATGGTCCGAGAGTGAACTTTACAGCATCGATCGCATATCAAGGGGGCACGTTACCCACCAGTGTCTAATGTAACAAAACGTTAGTGGCCAGTACAACTTGAATCAATGATTTCGGGAATAGACATGCCTTGTTTCCACCGCTGTGATCTTGATGGTGATGTGTGGTGATGCCAGCGACGATGCTCACGCCCTCCTTGTCCGCTACAGCCCGTACCTTTTCTACGTCTAATACATCCACCACTGCCGCCTTCCTGCTCGGCTCGTCGATAAGAAGATACGCATAATTATCTGCGCTGACGAGAACAGGTACAACCTTCATCTTGGACGCTCTAACGGTAGATGAAAAAGCCCGGATACCGACTCGGATAGGCGCACAACTACAGATGCTACTAATACGACTACGGAAAGCGATGGAAAGCGCAGTCATGCCAGTTCACCGCAAAACTGATGCTGATGTCGTTCGCGGAGCTCCAACAACTGGCCTTGCTTATTCTTAGCCTTGGGTACTGGATGGTTTGTAACAGAGGCGTTGATCACGCGTACGTGCGTGCCGGCTACCTCGCATCTGAATCTCATGTACAGCCTTGGATAAACGTCTGATGTGATGTGTCTACTCTCACATGTCATTGTCAAGTGGGGTGTTTTTTACTCCACCCTTCAGCGCTTTTTTTTTCTCTTTTCTCTTTTGATTGCCCTGGTGCTGCCTGGTGCTGCTCGTTTCTTCCTCCCACTAGTTTAGCCTGCCGGGATCCTGAACATATTGGCTTTGGATGCAGGGCGGTACTTGTGTTGGTCTTTGTCGATTGTGAGTATTCGCTTGGTGTCTTTGAATGCGTGTTTGATATGGATTGGGTTTTAGCAGTGCATAACAACTTGCGCGCTATTAATCTCTCGACGTCGACTGTGCAGTTAATATGTTAAACAGAGGAAATTCTTCGAGTCGTTCTAATACAGGAACCGACTCTCCTTCTACTAGTCCCGTTGACACCTCCAGCACCTCCAGTACTGCTTACACCCCCAGCACTTCTTCACTCTGTTCCTCCGCCTCGTCCTCTGCAAGCACTGACACCAGCGCCGTTTCGTCGGTCATAACATCACTCCAATCTCCCGCTGAATCAACCGCATCGTCACCTTCAGTAGCTGCGGCAGCGTCAACATCATCGGGAAATACGACCAACACCTTAACAACTTCCTCTGCCTCAACTATCAACGTCGGCGCCATAGCAGGCGGCGTCATCGGTGGAGTCGTCTTCCTAATATTGCTCATCCTCGGCCTCATCCTCTGTCGTCGCGCCCGATTCAAAAAACACATCGCACCCTCCTCCCAATTTGCAGAAACCATCAAACGCGGTGAGCTACCCGTCCTCCGCCTAGATTGCGGCGTGGAAATCGTCCCCTCACCCGCGCAATATCACGTTCCCCTACCACTACGACAAGACTCGTATTACACGAGTCCTGCCATGTCGCATATGAAACTCCCAGATGGGATAGGAGGGTCAGATGAGCAGTCTGTGCGTCACAGCTTAGAAAAGCCGCTGCAGCCTCTTCGGCGCCCAGGTTACCAGGGTTCGAATGAATCTGTGACAATGGGCAACACAGCGCGCAGGGCATCCAGTATCGGCAGCTCACAGGAGTTCTGGTCCCGCGACGCAGGCAAATTCGACATTCGGAAAGACTATAGATCCACATCTCCCCTTCCTATCGAAACCAACTACGTACCCATGATACAAAATACATATCCCATGCAGCCTTCTCGCGCAGTAGATACTTTACAGAACGCGTATGCTGATTTGTGGAAGCTCTCCGTTGCCCCGATAACGCGCCCACGGCCGGATTCTGTCCAGAATGGTGCGGATACACAACCTTTACCCCCGTTGAGACCTGTACGACGTAGTGTGGACGTTGGGAGTGGCAGGAAGGTTTAATTCTTTATCATTATTATTCGTGTATGTTTACTGAACTTTTATATTCGAGTCGGATGTCTGATATTGGTACATGGTATTCATCCGCGAGGATTTATGTACTAGTAATCGATCTGTTGGACTCTGGAGATCATGGCGAGCTCAAGTCTGTTGTTCTTCTGTCTTCTGTTTCCAGCGTCCGTTACCTCTCTGAAGTCAAAGCCTGGCATACTGCCATTGGGAATATGCTCATAAACTGTTATTCCTCATGTTCGCACACTCTGAATCTCTGGTAATACAAATCTGCACCGTGAGAGCTGTGCAGTCAACTTTCGCACCGGGCTGTGAGATAGCAGATTCGACTCCCTTTCAGATCTGCTGCTAAGTTTTGCGGAAGGTTCTTTGTTCACCGAATAACGACATTGACAACAACATCATCGCCTCCAGGGGACATGCAGGAAGCTAAATGCTCGAAGCAGTATTTGCCCCTTCATCTCCCATCGTACAGTCATAGTAAAGCAGCGTTAGAGCTATATCACCTTATGGCCATGCAATAACGATGTTCATAAGGCCAACTCTTTCTATTCCGTTTATTTTCTATTATATGCCCCATCATCTCCCATCGTATGGTCATGGTAAGCAGTGGTAGATGCATTATGATTTCTATACAATAGCGATGTTGATAAAATCACGCAACTTCCAACACTCCATCTTTCGCCTCGAAATTCGATCAACAACAAAAGGAGCTGCTTCAACAACTCGCAGTGATCACCGTTCCTAAAATGGGTTATGGCTTGTCCTGTCCAATTATGCAAAGAAAAGCCTATGGCTATTACTTCCATGTTCCAGCATGGCAGCGCATCGCATAGTGGAAGCCAAGGATGGGTCTGTGTCGAAGCGGGTGATGTATGACGCATGACATCAGCACCTAGTGCTGCCGTGCCATGGCGACGATACCTGCAGACGTAATATCCCTATCGACGTACTGCACCCTTATGCTGTTATTTATGCCCGAACATGGTGATATAGAGTCCTGGATGTTGGAATCAGCGCATACAAAACAAGCTCGTACATCAAGGGAAATGAGTGAACTATGCCGGTGTTGGGCTAGCGTTTACATAGAGTTGTTGGACAATAAGCATTGACCTTGGAAACTAGCAGTGCGTAGGATGGGAGGTACACTGGCCTAGGCGTGACGCGGGGCATTCAGGAATCCGACTGGGTCAAGAAATGAAGTCTATAAACAGAATAAATGCGCGCACCGGATAACCTATGAAGCCCAAAACATCATCCCCGTTGTCTGCAAGTCCTGCGACCCTTGAGAACGTCAGTGACAAAAATAATGACCACTAGAAGTGAATTTCGTATCATAGAAAGGCTGGGTAGTTACAGGCAGAAAAACAGACCGACTTCAAGTTGCATCTTACCCGCTGTTTGGGTTGGCGGCATCAGACAATTCCAGGCTGTTTTCGTGGCCACTTGGCTGTTATTTGAGCAGTGAGCTGGCCGAAGCTTCAAAACTTCATCGATGTGAGGTGAGTCGATTTGTGCAATGCCAAGGCTTATGTAATCAATTGAAGTTATGATGCGGTGTCCGGTAAGGAGTGACGTGCATTATACTCGACCATGCTCGACCACTGCTCGATCTCGCACAAAGGTCGGTCTAATAATCATTTGAAGCAGCTAAATCTCACTATCAGCTGCAGGAGGTATTGTATTATGGTCACGTTCCTTTACCCCAGAGGCATCTCACTTGGCTTCTTCTCCTTCGTCTCCCGTGAATTCTCTCATACGTGAAGCCCTGATCGAAGGGCGGACAGCCGAGGAAAAATACGAGAAGGACGGGTACGCAGTGAAGTGGACATTCTTTAATGATCTAGAGCTAATTTTTGTGGTACGTCCGTTGTTCATGCTGATGGAGTAACTCTCGACTGACATTCAGAAATGCAGGTTGCATATCATCGCATTCTCCAACTAACTTACGTGGATGACCTGCTAGCTGCGCTCAAGGCACTGTTTATAAAATTATTCGAGCCATTCTTGGCTACTTTCGTTGCTTCGTTGCATGCAATAAAAAGCGGGAAACTCGTATCAGGTGCTGCGCGCGATTCTGCCAAAACGTGGAACTTTGCAAAAGCATTTGAAGGCTGGGATGGTGTCTTCGACAAGCTCTTGAAGGGATTCGAAGACAAGGCTGCCCAGGTGCGTCCTTGTTCTCGCACATATGCCGTGCTTGCTCACTCCAAGTCTGCAGGAGCGCAAGTCTCGCTATAGACAAGTGGCTCCAGCTCTACCTGACCCCAGTCCTCCTTCTGATGACCTCAGTACGGGTGAGTTTTTTAATTCAGTACGTCGCGCTTATATTCTCAAGTGACCTCTAGTTCCCTCCGAATCGTCAATTGCAGTGCAGGATGAGCAACAGATAGCCCGCAACGTACAAGCACTCAAGAACAGACTGCGTGGCCGGGGTGGCCGAAGGGGAGGGCGAGGTGTGACGAGGGTGGACTCGGGAAGCGGCCGGGACAGTGTGCCAGCTTCAGAGTGAGTGCGCAAATCATTTTAATTCAAACCAATGCTTTATATCGTACAGCTCCGAGTCAACGAGCAAAAGGGCGAAAAGCAAGGCGCAGCGGAAATGGGGTGAATCGGCCCCGTCAGAAACAGAAATGGCTTCTTTGGACTTTAGCATCGACAAGCCTGACTCCGGCACAAATGGTCATTTATCGCATGACCTGCAGGCCCTCGTAGACAAAGCCTCTCTTGGAACTAGGACAAGGGATGGTTTATATGAAGTCAAGGATTGGGACTTTGGTGGAAAGGACGACGAGTCGAATGACGCTATCACTCGTGCTTTGAAGAATGAGGGTGCAAAGCAGCCATCGGGCTCATTGGGCGCTCTGAGTTCTTTGTTCTCCCGTTTGACAGGCTCCAAAATCTTAACCGAACAGGATTTGAAGCCTGTTTTGGAGGGGATGAAACAACACCTTATGAAGAAAAATGTGGCCATGGACATTGCGGACAAGGTCTGCGAAGGTGTCGGTGAGAGTCTTGTGGGGAAGAAAGTCGGAGGTTTCCAAAGTATGCCGTGTCTCGCATCTTTATCTGTCGTGCTCTGACGCAATTTCAGCCACCAGCAACGCCGTTAGGACGGCACTGTCATCTTCGCTCACGCGTATTCTGACGCCCAAGACCTCAACAGACCTGTTATTGTCAATCAGGACTAAACTTTCTTCCCCCCTGCCTTCCGCTCAACAGAGGATGCCTTATAGCATCACCTTTGTGGGTGTGAATGGCGTAGGAAAGAGCACAAACTTGTCAAAAGTCTGTTTCTGGCTCATCCAGAACGGCTTGCGGGTGCTCATTGCAGCCTGTGACACTTTTCGGTAAGAGAGCTTCGTTAGTATTACTCAAGTTGCACTTATTCTGAACATCCCGTGTAGGAGCGGTGCGGTCGAACAGCTTCGCGTGCATGTGCGCAATCTTTCCATGCTTGGTGTCAACGGCGCAACAAATAGCAAAGGCCGTGTTGAATTGTATGAGAAAGGGTACGGGAAGGATGCTGCGGGAATCGCCAAAGAAGCTATTGCATATGGTGAGGAATTTTGTTCATAGTGCATTTTCAACTCACGCATTCGTACCCAGCCAAAGATAACGATTTTGATGTCGTTTTAATTGACACAGCTGGGCGCATGCAAGACAACGAGGTACGCAAACTGGTACTATTATTGTCACGATCCTAATAGATCATTTTCTGCCAGCCCCTCATGCGTGCACTTGCCAAGGTATGATACACTGTGGAAGCTCCTTGGAACTCCGTTGATAAACTCCACAGCTTGTTGCCGCGAATAACCCAGACAAGATAATCTTTGTCGGCGAGGCGCTCGTTGGCAATGAGGCCGTCGACCAGCTTACTAAGTTCGACCGCGCCCTTCGTGACTTTTCTTCTGCATCCGGCTCGGGCAAGGGGCGTGGCATTGACGGTATGCTAGTGACCAAGTGGGATACTGTGGATGACAAGGTGCGTGGTTTGCTCGCCACGGCAATGGCAGCTGACACTCGCGCATAGGTTGGCGCAGCGCTCTCGATGACATATGTGACAGGCCAGCCAATTATTTTTGTCGGATGTGGCCAGGTTTGTTTTTCTGTCTGGCCTACCTATCCATAGCCCCACATTCTGACTGTTTCACCAGACATATACTGACCTCCGTCAGCTGAGAGTTGCAAACGTGGTACAAGCGATACTGAGCGATTGATATTTCTCATGTAATTTTGTTATCTACTTGCTATCTATATTGAATCAAAACCAGTGTTGAAAATTAGTACAGCTGGCAAACACACCGGCTGTGCTAGGAGTCAAAACCCCGGATCTTTTCCTTTTGTGCAACCTCCTAAGTTGCTGCCACACCCAAGGCGACCCAGTCTAGTGCAGATATTATTACGGTTTATCTATCTACTGAGGGCTATGCCCCCCAGACCAGGTACGGAGCGATCCGTCATTATACCAGCATCTAATGTGTATAACCGCTATGTAGTTCTTTGAAATTGCCACGGCATTAATACAAGATGTGTTGCATAAACCGACAGCTTCAGACTGGTCACTGAGATGACCCTGGGGTTCGGAGAAGATGTTCCTATATGCATAGGTCAGGTCATAGGTCTAGGAAGAAACCATTGTGAACACACGTACCTTCACAAGTTTCTCGCTTTCTGATAAAATATCAAGGCACAACTGCAGACCCTTTGCACACCACTGCCTCTCGAGCCAGTTGAGGAGATGACGATCCCAGAAAGACTTGAAAATATGCACAAGCTTCTTGTCCCATGGATTGGGAACTTGCAAGATATGAACAACCCAGTTTTGACATGCATAGTTAAGAATGTTGGAAGGTGATTGACTTCGTTCACGTGCTTGGTTGGTGAAATGAGAAAAGGCCTTCATTGCATGAATAATCTCCATGTCTGGTGGAAGGTGACTTTGTGTTAATGCAGAGCTGGAATGATCTTGGTGCCTTAGTGCCAAGAATGCAGGAAACATCAAGAAATCTGGCAAGCTCTTGAACTGCTAAATGACTTGAAAAGCTGGGTGGGAAGACAATTCTGGGATGATGATGTGCTGCTTGATTGCTTCCAATGTGTTCGAAAATT